GGAATGACATCGAAGGGAAGATTCGGACGGGTGACATTTGGACAGGAAAAAGTGAACGCTATTCGTGCTGCTTGCGGTGTACGATGTATTTAAATCACAGATGGTCCGTTTTCGTTTTTTATCGATGTACTTGTGCGCTGTCTTCAGAGCACGTACTGAAAATGAATAAGAACGATGGGAAACAATTGGATGAGGTCGGTTGCAACGTGGTTAAATATGAAAAGGATTACAGTAATACGACAGTCTCACAATACAGTGATAGAAAGCACGATTTGACTCGTGTGCCATAAGCTAATTTATTTGTTATGCGCCTATTAGTTACTATGCGAAAAAATGTGCACAAGGCAGATCAAGTAAAGCTTGCCAACTGGATAAACTATTTTTTCATGGTTTTAACTGCAATTACAGGAATACAGTCAAAGAAAGAGCAAGCTATTCAATGTTCATGTCAATGTTTATGAAATAAAAGCTGAAGAGCAGAAATGATTGAATAATTTATTATATGTCAGTTTATTTTTCGGATTTGAGGTGCAAGTATTATTTTTATTTGCCCGTTATTTTTTACTTTTAGTTAATCAAATTAAATCTTAATCCTGTGTCTGCTGGTAGTAAGTCCCCTTAGTGACATTTTCAGAGCTTATTTTTGTGTTGCAGCTGGGATAAGCAATCGATACTTGATTTCTTAAGGTGGTAGTCAAAAAGTGATTATGTGTCTCCGTACCTTTGAAAAGTCTGTTCACGAACTTCCACATCGTTGTGCCTACCGGACAGTCGATGGCCGCTGAAATTGCGTTCTCGCTGTAGCATCGTTGATCACCGGAGGCGTTCAGCGAATGCCCATTGAATGGCGAACTGCTTTGTTCTTTGCGGCAGACGGGGACACTCTTAGCGCTGCTCGGGCCCAAAATGGAGCAGTCATGGACCAGCGGAATCGCCCGGTCGCTTACTGATCGAAACACGTTGTTCCTTCCTGTTCTGGAGGCTCGTAACCGGTCAGCGTTGGTGGACTCGGACGAACGTCGCCGACTGCCCATACCACAAATCAGGTGGTCTCGGCTTGTGGTGTTGGCACGAACTCAGCGTGGATAACACTTGTCCACCCCCTGTTTCCGCTATTCAGCTGTTTGGGAAGCTTCCTTCATCCCTTCATGACACGGTTATCGCTAAGGCGTATAATCTCTCTTTTGAACATGGCTTTAACGTGCATTCCAAGCGACATGTGACATACAATGTGGAATTTCTGAGACAGATGGATTGATTACTTGTGGCGGAAATCTACCTTTCCATCATAGTCGACCGCTTGGTTTTCGTGTCATCGACTAAGCCCTCGTGATCATGAGCTGCTAGTATTGCCAGCAGCTGTTGGTTTTACCCATTGATTTGTTTGGCATGCCTCAGACATAATACTGGTGGCTTTCATACTTTTCCGTGTACGTGATCTCGGTGACAAACTACTGACACTGAACACCTTAACTCGTCAGTGATCTATAATTGTTGATACGCGTGAATGATAAAATTAGAATAATGGCTTCCTTTGCTTTATCCGTAATTAATTATGTCCTCCAAACTGTGCCTTAGACTGTAAGTGAATTCCATAGAATAATTTGAGATATATCATGATGAACAGTGGACCGTTAGTGGCCTCGCTCAGAGGTTAGTTGGTTTGCTTACAAAACAGAAGTGCCAATATCGAACTGTGTAGAGACAGAAAATCATTCACTTTATTGACGTTATTGGACAAGCTTATTCTGATGTGAACCGATGAGCACAACTGAGATGCACGTTGCTGTCGATGAACTGCTACAAACTGGGATGGGCTGATGTTATGATAATCGGTTATGAAAATGAC